CGTGACTTCCTCCATCTTCCTCTCCGTAACCTTTCTCTCGTGTTGTGCTGCACTCAGTTTGGACGTGACCTCCTCCATCTTCCTCTCCGTAACCTTTCTCTCGTGTTGTGCTGCACTCAGCTGGGACGTGACCTCCTCCATCTTCCTCTCCGTAACCTTTCTCTCGTGTTTGTTGCTCGCCGCAAACTCAGCTGGGACGTGACCTCCTCCCATGCTTCCTCTCCGTACCTTTCTCTCTGTGTTGGTGATGTGCCTCAGTTGGGACCGTGACGCTCCTCACCATCTCCTCTCCGTAACCTTTCTCTCCTGTTGGGTTGCGCTCAGCTGCATCTTCAGTGATTCGATCTTCACTTTCAACCGTGCATTTTCCTCCGAAGCCTGCTTGCCATCCAAGCTTGCCATATCGTGCCTGCAAAGAGTGAGTCAGGTTCACTTTGTAAAACAAGTGCCGCGGAGCGACAGCGCTCATCTCACGTCTACTGCGGTGACTCTGTGGTGAGTGGGGGATTCTAGGTAAACCCTGTTTGTCCGCAAATGTGTTCAACGATACGTGGCGAAACAGTGAAGGCACAGGGATGGTAATCAGGAACCTTCACCCCCCCCCCCCCGCCCCCCCCTCAAGGAATGTTCGTTGGACATCGTTATGAAGTTGCCACGAGATGGCGCGTACGTTTAAGTGTCTCTAAGATTAAAGATGGAGAGCTCCCATGCGTACTAGTAGCAACAAAACTATTTGGCAAGACAGAATAGTAAGCACTCATCCATTTACCGTACCAAAGCCTACAGGCTAAATAGAGAGCTGCCACCTGTAACTAATTATACGCAAGGCAAAAGCTACACAGTAACTATCACCAACTACATGCACCTGGCAGTGCCACTGGGCAGTCGCATAAGTTACATGTAACACAATGACAGTAAACAGAATCCATACGAAATTATATGATTTAAGGAGCCAATAAACCCTCTTCAACGCAAATTTAGCTTTTTGAAACATTTCATTGTGACATCTGTAGGCTCCATAACATCCAGGCTATGTATAGATTCTACCTACTAAGCAACACCCGGCAGTCAAATTCTTTCTAACAGTAAACAATCCATGTTTAAACGAGGCCATGCCTCCTTGAGGGTGCAAAAGTTATTCTGACACTTACTCATTCGCATGTCAGCAGAAACAGTACATTTCATGGTCTTTCAATAAAAGCCATAAAAATCTAGGTAACCGCTCCGAAACAAAAAGTTTTACATCGCTCCGTCAGAACCATCGTCTACCAGAAATGCCTAAAATCTGCCCCTGTGCATAATGACGCTTTGTACCTGTGACACTCCAATCGGCACATAGAAATGGCTTTTCTTACGCATGATGCTATACCACCCGACATCAACGAAGCCTGAGGTCAGCCGTTTAGCATTGTGCCGGGCCATCTGCATTTCCTCCCTATACCTTATAGTTAAGGAAGGAATTCTTGACCTTTGACCTCCAGCCTTCGACATCCCAACTGTTTCGGATTACCGCCCGCACACCACGTCCCAAATATCGTGAACTCGCATCCACCGTCTGAGCGGCCCGATTAAGATTTGTGCCAACTACAGTCTCGCACCCCCCCCGGACGGACGCACGGACGCATTCCACGGACGGCGACGGCGGACGATCATGCGATTCCTACAAGATCGAGCTAAATAAATATCAAATGTTGTTCAACCAATTTTTGAAGATTAGCAACGCTGCACACATATTCCATAGCCCTTTATAGCTGGGGTTGAGCCGCTTCAGGTCCAGACCTTATTAACCCAGTAATAACAGGTCGAAACATACTTCACGACCACCGACGCTACAAGTTTCTACCGCTCTAGGGAGGTGGTCTCAGGTCCCGCTTCAGACACGAGGCCAAACGTCAGTATAAAACGACTTACTCCGAGGCCTACAGTTATCCCCCCCCCCCCCCCCCCCGCTTCAAGAAGCGGGCTAAGAGTCGTGCAGCAGTTATAAAAGAGGTATAAGAGTCATCAAGAGCAGTGAAGAATCCGAAAATCAATATTGCCCATTGCACAGACAACGGTGCATGGGCCGCTACTTGATTTTCACAAATGGTACGTGATAAAATACCATGGTGTAACCTGACTAAGTGGCTGCTGTGGCCGTCACATCCTCCATCAGCTGAGATTTTAGCTCGATAGTTTCCTGTACTACTCACCCGCCCACCACTGCGCTACACCACTTCGCCGTTAGATTGTGGAACCCAGCGAGTGTGGTAGTACAGTGACTACCTGGAATACCAGGAAAGGCCCATGCCGTTTAAATTCTGCGTCCTATGGACATATGTTAAACGCTCCCCGAATATGAGACGAAGCCAGCTCACGTGTACAACGTTAAAGTTATGTAAGGAGTAAGCAGAATGCAGAGGCTGTGCGGCGGGCGACATGCATACTTGCCTGTCCTCCAAGTCCTTACTCTCCCCCATAGCGCCAGCCCGGCCGCTCACTTTACTCTCGATCGCCGGATCCGCCGGCTTGTTCGCTACCTGTCCGTTCGATGTGCCTCAGCCCTGACAACACGACCAGAAATTGCATTCGGTGATCACGTGAGCTGTATTAATGGGTCAGGAATGCGGAACAGGAATCCAACGTACTAAACTACGACTCGAGCCGTCCCTGGCAAGACACCCTCAATCGCTCACTGCTCACTGGAGTGCAGTAATCTGACAGCAACATAACCGTTGATCTCCAGTGACAGCGCGATAGTTTAAAAATAGAGACTAGCCGACGTATTCCTCCGACTCGACAGACGTGGCAGCGACGCGCAAGACGCGTTTACACCTGTCGCGCATCGCCCAGATGCACGGCCGTCAACGGAACTCATTTGCCTTAAAAGGGTGCGAGGTCAAGGGCCAGTACAGTTTGTGTTGCTGACAGTTGACGGCGCCGATTTTGCACTACCCACTATAACTAGCGCAATCGTAACTAATATCAACATTTGTGTCTGAAAGACATCTGCCCACTCCCCTCACACCCAAGTCACGACCTGCCTACATGCATCTATGCGACGATAAGGCAGCACTAGTAGTCTTCCACTCCAGCACCACGGAGCAAAATGCGCGCGTAAATGTGTTTACTTGATTCAACTCAGGCGACGTGTAAAGCCCATTGACATTAAACTCGGTTAAACAGCCATAAAGGTGACAGTGAAAACCGGGCAACCTGTTAATAAGCGCGGCACCGGCATCGGGCGTATCCGCCCGCCCCCCGCCCCCGCCGCGCTCGCTAATCGCTTCCTTGCAACTCTGTCACGCGTTGCTGGAACCATCTGGCCGATTCCATGAATAATAGAGAGCGACAGGTATTAGATACAGACGAGAAGCGCGACACTCTAGGGGGCGGTGCGGCCTGGCGGATCGGCGGCGCGCACGGCGATGCGGCGTAATGCGGCTCCTCGCCTGCTCGGCCCTCTCTGCGCAGCAGAAGCCGTTTGCTTTGTTCGCGTGATGCGCGCGGCATTATGCGCTCTCGTCACTGTCCGCGTCACTCAGCCAGAGACGTTCGCGGCTTGCGTATGCGGTGTTGGTGGCCGTCCGCCTAAATTGTCACGCCGAGTGCGCGGCGCGGCGGTTTAACGACGACCGAGTGCCAGTCGTTAATCCGGCGGGCGTCCGGGTTATGAGCGACGGGACTGGGAGGCGACAATTGGCAGGGAAGCGGCGGCCCGCGGCCGTTAAAATTCTAATAAAAGTGCATCTTAGTGATGACCCGCGTCGCGCTGAAAAGTAGTGTGTGAGTAATTTTCGTTCATTAGCACTTTAATTATATGCCGGTAACGGAAGCATATGTGGCCTAGTGATTCGTCACCTCAGATGTTAACGAGCTTATGTATATCAAGATTACACAGATTTTTCTATGTGATTAGAAATCAAAATTAATGAATGAATAATACATCTCATGTTAAATATATATATAAATGATAGTGTGCTTGGTGTTTATTATAATTAAGTCTAGCTGTTATAATATTAAGTAGTTAGATCACAAGAATGTTACCCATTTGTTTAGACAAAATTGTGCATGGCTTTATAAAATCAAATACTATTGAATGTAAAAACATATAATACTTAATACCTATTCGCTTGCATAAACGTATACTTACAATCTTATAATTAGGGGTAACCCCGGCGCAAAGTGGACCCGAAAAAATTTGGTGTGGCCAAACCTGTGAAAGAGCGAGACCAAAGTGAAATGATCTTGGCTCTAATCCTTTGGCTCTAGGACAAGAACTTAAGAGGCGGTACCAGAACAAAGTAATTTAAATAAAACGACTTATTGACAATATACAAAATTATAAAATTTAATAAATATTTCATTTTGCTCCCGCAGACTCCCGGGGCAAAGGAAACCTGTTATGGGGCAAGGTGGAATGTCATTTTTAACTCCATGGTATATGTGTCAAAAATGTTGACGCCTCTTTCAGCTGTCTAACTTCGAACATCAAATCTCATAGTTTTGCGTACGCATTTTGGCCTAAAATATGAAAGACAAAATGCATTATACGGACGCTTATACAAATAATTACAGTCTAGGGAAGACACAGTATATGGCCGAATGTTCCCCGAGTTAGGGTGTTTAAAATGCCATGCAAAGAGCAGACATAGGCCGCTGACCTGCTGAACTGAGAGGTAGGTAATTCAGCTAGTCATAATAAAATAATCCTCGACTAATAATTCGATATACATTTAAGGCCTATCAAATATGGCTCGGGGCAAAGTCGGAAACCCCTGTCCACTTTGGGTGCCCCATCCCACCTTTGCCCCGAACACACATGATAGTCTTTCCTAGACCATGTGGCGTTACGTGCTGTTGCAGTACAACTACGACAAAAATGGTCACCATGCAGGTATGGCACACGATAGGCCTTAGATTCAACAAAATATGCCTACATAAGAATTCCACAAGATCACAGTGATTAGCAGATCGATTCATTTCTAAAAACATATTGATTTCAAACACATAAAACACAGAGCTCGCTTTTGTCCAAAAAAAGATGTACATACCGTGATGTCCTGGCAAATGGCGTCCATCAAAAAACCGACTGCATCATCAACTGAGCTTCTAATGAAGAACAGTCACAGATAGATGGGGCATGCAACATAGATCTGGCTGAGACAATTCCACTTTGCGCTGATCCGTGTTTCCGCTTCTACCCGCGGTTCCGCCTATATGTATGCAGAGCAGGAGGGTGATGGGATACCTGCTTTCCAGTAAGTTATAGGTAGTGGTAACAATGGATTCCCAGACAGCACAGGAAGCATAAGTGTCTGTCACCACTTGTCTTAAGGTCTTCGGACTTGACCGGCGCCCTGCGATTCCTTCTCCGCCTTCACTCGCTGCGACCCACACTGCGCTCAAACCGGCCTTGACCTCCAGCCGTACCGACGACTGCACAAACGACAGAATCACTATAGACAGAAGAGTAGAGAGATTAGTGTGGTGTGTTGTGTGTGTGGTGTGGTGTGTGTGTGTGTGGTGTGGTGTGTCGTGCGCCGCGCGTGCGTGCGTGCGCTGTCGATTGAGTGCGTTGTGTTGTGTGTTTGAGTGTATGTGTGTGTGTCGCTGTGTGTGTTGTGTGTGTGTGTGTTGTGTGGTGTGTGCCTAGTTGTGCCTGTGTGGTGTGCGTGTGGTGCGTCGCGTCGTGCGTGCCGTGCGTGGCAATCTTGGTGTGCCTGTGCGCCCTGTGTGTGTCGTGTGGGCGTGCAGTGTGTGTGTATCGCGCTTGGCGCATTAATAACTACATACGCTAACAGCTGAGAGTTTTTACTGCAGGCCCACAGGCTCCCCATGTCCTGACCACCGCTGCATACTACTGTCTACCACCTCCGTCCTGATAACAATACCGGCTTTACGCACACGCTCATCCGATCACACTCATCGCATCGTGCGAATGTGCGCGCAAACAAAGCACCGTGCCGGTCGATGGTGTAGATGGGGAGACACAGGAGGGCGCCACCGTGCCGGGCAGTAGTGTGGCGCGCACGAGCAGCGATGAGGAGAGAGACGACGACGGCGCAGGTGGTGGCGCCACCGCAGGTGGCCGCGACGAGGCCGTGCGAGAAACGCGGAGCCGCGGCGGTCATCGGCGACAGCGGGGCGGCGGTCAGCGGGCGTCCGATCTGGACCTGCTGCTGCAGGACCGGCAGTACGGCCCCATCTCCGGGCAGCTGATGTCAGCGATGAAGGAGGGATGCCGCAAGGCCTTCCAGATGCAGCCGCAGAGGCTGATGATCGCCATGTACTCGTCCGTCATCCAGGCAACGGCAGAGGTGCTCGGTGAGTGGTGGGCGGCTTGCGTGGATAAGTGGCAGTGCGGCGTGTTTAACTAGCTGGGTTGGGTTAGGGTTAGGGTTGGGGTTTGATCGGGTTAGGTTTGATTAGGTTGATCATCGTTTGCGAAGCCTGATGTTGTGCGTGATTGCAGGGTGCACTAGTAAGGCTATAGCATAATGCAGGGTTTCTTCTGAGGGAAAATTTGACAAAGGATGTAATGGCCAGTTTGGGGAAAATGCGCATGATGGATTCAAGGGAAATAACAGAAAAGTTTAGACCCCGCATGACATGACTCAATATACGCACATAGCAATCTAAATATGCCAGAAACACGTGGTGATCTTTGTATTTTTAGCTCATCTGACATAGTCAGATGCAGCTTGTAGAATCGCATAAGCGTGCGTCCGTCCGTCCGGCTGTGCGTCCGTGCGTCAACAGTTGGGCACAAATCTTAACCGCTTGACGTACGGTCACGATATTCGGGAGTCGGGACGTCGGAGGATATCGTCAAAACGAGTTAGGATGTCGAAGCTGGGGGCTCAAAGGTCAAAGGTCAAGAGGTGTAAAAGAAGGGGGAACATTCCCTCCTTAACTTAAGGTATAGGGAGGAAATGCAGCAGGGAAAAAATTGGGGAAAAATTTTCAGTGGCTACCTTTCAAGCTCGCGTGCATGAAAATAGCACTCTAAAATTTGGTTTGTATTGAACTCTATGCAAATTTACAGGGGTTCTTTTTGCCAATTCCGGGGCTCTTTTAGGCATTTCGGGGGCTAAATCGCCCCGAGCCCCCGTGTATTTTTTTCACTGAAATGGAGAATTGCGGCACAAATCTAAACGGCTCGACCTAGGCTCGTGATAGTCGGTGTATAGCATCATGGTAGGAAAAGCAATTACTGTGCCGAAATTGGAGGTCACAGGTCAAAGGTCAATGGGCAGATTTTTGACATTTTCTGAGGACATGGTCTGACGGAGCAATTGAAAAACTTTTTTGTTTCAGTGGTGACCTACCATTTTTATAGCTTTATTGAAAGGACCATGAAATGTACTTTCCACTGACGTGCGAAGAGTAAGTGTCTGATAACCTTAATTTGACCCTCAAGAGGAGGA